ATATATTTTTTAATTGATTATATTCTTGTTTATATTGTAAGTAACTAGTTTCTGAATTTTTAAATGTTGTCAGTGTTAGGTCAACTTCTGGTCTAACTAACTGCCAAGGAGGAGAAGAAAGCAGACGGGAAGGAGATATATTTTCTAGGCCAATGCCAGCAGCAGATTGTTCCTGAAACCACATTGAATATTTGATATAACTATAAGGTTATTGGTTTCAAGATACCATGTTAATCTATTGTTAACCATTCGTTCCATGGTTTTACAGACACAACTCGTTTTAAGAGATCGGTCTGAAATTAGACGGATTTGTGTGGTCCCGGCCAGGCTTTGGAATAGATACAACAATGGCATTACGCCACCAAGTTGGAAAATTCCCTGTAGTCCATATGATATCAAATATATTTAGCAGCGTTTCCAAACATGACTCGGGCAAATGCTTCAGGAGTGGATAGTGGATATCATCAGCCCCTGTTGCTGTATCATGAGCTTGCTCAAGGGCAGTATGGAGCTCATGTAACGAAAATAATTCGTTGTAGTCTTCACCATTGTCTGAGTTAAAATTTAATCTTTTCTTCTCCGGGACATGATTTGATGAAGATGAATGCTTGGCGAGAGTTTCACAAAGTTTGTTAGCAATGTCGGTTTTATTAGTCAATAAATTATCACCATCCGTCAGATCGTGAACAACCCGTGAAGGTCCCGGGTTAGAATTGGTCTTCAGTAACCCATGCTTGTCGTAAAAGGCGACTATCGGGATCGGGTGGTCAGGCTCGCTGACTTGGTTGACACATGTCATCGGTTCCCAATTGCGCAGATCGATGCTCATGCTGTTGATCACTGGATTGTCTGGTCCAGACTCGATTATTTACAGACCGCCGCCATATAGCTGGAATATTGCTGAGTGCGGCGTAACACTAAACTCACTCACTCACTTACTCACTCACTCAGATGGTGAACAGTAGATTGAGAACCTTTGCCCTTTATTCTTTGAATCATGTTCCACACCTTTAACACAGGCGTGCGCGAATTTATTTTGGAAACATATCTTCGCCAAGACTGACGCTTATTTTGTTTAAATGCACGTCTAGCCTTAGCATTAGCAACTTTGACTTTGTCTAGATTATGGACAGTAGGATGTCGGCGAAAATATTTTTCGGCTTTATTCCTACATTTTCTGCCTGTTTACATTCATTATTAAACCATGGTTTACGAATATGTGGAACTGCAGAGGGCTTAGGAATTGTTTTGTCAGCAAAGTCATTTAGTATATCCGTAAAGGACTGTATAGGATCTTCACTGTTCCTAAAAAGATCATGCTTCATGTGTTCAACACACAGAGTCTCATATAATGACCAATCAGCCCTGGCGAAGTTCCTTCTTGATAATGATTGATCATCACCAGGGTTGATTGTTTTGAGAATGGTGTGAAAGTGATCACTCCATTATAGGTCATCATGTACCATCCATTCAAATTCATTATATAAGGTTGAATCGGTGAGTGATAGATCCAGGGAAGAATATGTTCCCGTAGCTGGATGAAGATAAGTGGCTGAATCAACATTAAAAATACATAAATTATTATCGGAAATGAATTCCTCGATGATTTTACCTTTTTTATTTGTCTTGGCACTTCCCCAAAGCGAGTTGTGTCCGTTGAGGTCACCTATGATGATAAATGGCTTTGGAAGCTGATCATATAGATTTTGAAGATCCGATTGTCGAATGTCAGAGGAAGGAGGGATATACAAGCTGCAAAGGGTCAATGCAATGTGCAGCGTCAGACGGACAGCTACAGTCTGAAGATGTATAATACCCTGCCGCACTGAAATGGAAGTACCCCCAGTTGCTTTATCTCCCGGAGGAGAAAAGGAGTGATAATCACTATACTGTCTAAATTAAAGTTATCTGTATTTTTTAAATATGTCTCTTGTAGACATAATGCTTAAGGTTTAAAATCTTGTATCAGTAATTGTATCTCATTAAAGTTATTTCTTAGTTCCACTGCATTAAAGTCGACAATTGAGTCATGGTGCCTCAATTGGCAATCGTTAACGGGAATGTGAGGAGAATCATTTCTCCTCCTGTCCTGTGAGGACAGTGTAATCTCCATATCAAGAGGCCCAAATGTGTTCTGTGTTGGAACCTCTGAAGGTGAAGGGACAGTATGTAGTTTGTCTCTTGTTAATTGTTTTCCTTTCTTCTTTTTGTATTGATTTTGCTCGCTGGTTTTGATACTAACTTTTCTGATGGTGTCTCGGGATCAGTTTCATCTGTCTGGGAACTCGACGAAGATTGAGTGACTGTTGTAGTTGGTTTCGGGGCTGAAGTTGAAGAAATAGGTTAAGCTGACTTGACCCAAGTTAAGTCAGTCTGACATGCAGTAGAGGACATTTCTGCAGATCGAGTGACAGCAGCAGAGTATGTGACAGTTGACGGAGCCTATGACTCCATAGTTTTTTGGCATCAAAGTACGAGATGGGTTTTTTCAGTTTTAATTTCATGATTTGTGACTCCCTTTGATAGACAGGGCAGGACTTGGATGACGCAGAATGTGGGCCGTTACAGTTGACACATTTATAATGCTTCTGACAGTCTGTGGTATTCTCATGGTTGTCACTACAACGGTGACACACGACAGAGTTTCGAAATGACTGAGATCCATGGCCGAAATGTTGACATTTGTAACATTGGAGCGGATAGGGGACATACACATCCACTCCGATGTTAAAATAACCTGCTTTAATAGATTTTGGAAGGGAAGATCGAGAAAAGGTAACCAGATAGGTGTTCGTTTTAGTGATGATGCCCTCTTTCTTAAAGGTGAAGCGTTTTACCGCCGTGACACCTTGATATTCAAGCTCTGAAGCTGTCCTCTTCTGACATATCATAGAGACAACGAGCCCTGTCTCGTATGATACCTCGGCAAGAGTTTAATGTTCTGTGCAAGGACACAGCAACCTCGATATTGGCAAAAATCTTGACTGACAACAATTGAGAGATTGCTGCCTCCGTGCACACTCAACAAGAAGCGAGCCACTACGGAGACGGGAAACATTTGTTACCTCTCCACAAATTCCGGAAATAGCCTTGCAAATGACAAACGGGTTTAATTTGATCGGCAGAAAGTCTGTAGCTTCAATCACAAGAAACCGAGGCCATGAATTAACGTTTGAATGTTGAAGGTTGACATGATGAAAGGAAAAAGATTCAGCACCCCTGCTCCCCACCCACCATGGAGTGGACGACAAGGAAGATGTCAAATAGCACCGGATCTCCAAGATGCCGACACCAGGGAAACAGGGATGTTATACTCCAGCAAGTATGACACAAATAGCAATATTTGTATACCAAATAAAATGCCAGGGTGGTTCTCTCCATGACAAGTAGTTGGACACATATTGAATGTGGAGGTCAACATTGCCAGATTGGCCCATGAGCCGCCGCCTTCTGGCATAGAACTCTAGGCAGTTTGAAGTAATCAATAATTTATACACAATAGATCAAAATATCCAAGTCCCAAGTACAATTTAAATGTGCAGAAATATTCAGCATGCACAGGGTTTGGCGTGACCAGCCGATTGATAGAACCGGGCCAGTTCTACCACCCGTCTAGGTGAAGTAAGGGCCAAACTGGTGTGTGTGGAACACTGTTAAAGGCTCCTATTGCCCTCAACCACCAGAATCCCCTCCTCCACCAACACAGGGGCGCAACCCACGGCAAACGGGTTTGGTGGACCAAATATACCCCCGGGTCCACAACGGGGGGTTGAAGAGCACTTAGCGTTACCCAGCACCCACCACGAGGAGGTGACTCTTCACGGGTGCCGCATTTGTAAATGGGATTAGGGTACCGTTTGTTGGAGATGTGCGTGGTTTTGAATGTATCAGAACAGTGTTAATGTTCAACGTACAGAATAACTGGCCTTCCCTTAAATAAGATACGAACGTTGAAGAAATAGTAGTCATAGATGGTAATCCGGACATTGTCCCACAAACGAGACTAGATGTTATTTCAGTATAGCTGATGCTCCAACATTTACCTGTCACGTCCAGTTTCACAGAATCCATGATTGCCTTAACACCTGTTGTGAGACCAATGTTAGTCAAGGGAAAACAATATTGTGCTTCATGCTAAATGTAAAGAGAGGTAACGCAAGTGACATGTGGTAAAGGCAAAACACCTTCCCATGAAACATGTCCAATTTTCTGTGAACATTTAGGAATTCCTTCCTAAATGGTGTCTCAAACTGTGGCCATACTGTAATTGGCTATCAATTTGGTTTACTTTTGACGCTGATGTATTTCTCTTTGTCAGATTTTAATGAGGCTTTTCCTTCTTTTTAATGTTGTCTTCAGTGATGTTTACATATAATTATTATCTCACTAATGGCCTCGTCAGTGGAAAACCAACAACAAAATGTTCATGAAAGAAGGAAAGTTTTGTAACCGACCTATACCCATTTGTACATAATTGCACACGATTCAATAAAACAATCTAACTGCATTTAGCAAACGAAATCTTCAACTGGACATGGAATTAAACTCTTAAACTAGTCCATTGTAATGTAATGAAAAAGCGATCAATATGTGTCTCTATGTTTCAAGTTTTGCACAAATATGTCGCCAGCAACGTGAGAGGATAATCAAATCTACCCTGCTAACCGTATGCTCCATGGTCAAAATTAACTGATGCTGCTGTTGTGACAGCGTGTAAAAACCACAGAATCTATGGGGGAATCCTTGTCACAGATCACAAAAACTGCTTAATCAATGTTAGTTCCCGACTATATCTGAGTGAAACATGAATAGGTAGCGTTAGGAAGTTTTCTTCCACTTCCTGCCGAACGTCTCCAAGTCCTGTAATCAGACATTCAGATGTACATACATGGAGGAAGCAGCAATGATGTTTAAGGTTTTCATCAGCTTCATTGCATTGATTTGCATAAGTCAGGGGACCATCATTAAAGAACAGAAGAGACTTCTTCATTTTTTGCAAGATGACCATCAGCGGCAAGTTTTCCCAAGTGAGACCAGGATGGATATACATGTAAGATTTACTATGTCACATATTACTGAGCTCAATGAGTGGCAACAGTCCATTACTACAAATGGATGGTTTACCTTTAACTGGCTGGATGAATCATTGAAGTGGAACATTTCGGATTATGGAGGGATCGACGTGATATGTATGTCAAGTGAACATATATGGATGCCCGACATAACTATTCTAAATACAGCCAACGAACGCAAACTTATGAACAATCAGAATTCACCTGTTTGTGTACATCATTCTGGAAAGGTAGATTGGTTCCATGGGGACCTCTATCACAGTTATTGTGACTTTGACGTCTCACATTTTCCATTTGATACTCAGACCTGCCATCTGAATCTAACCACATGGGTGACCACGGACGAATCTGCTCGTTTCAAGGCTTCAGAAAATGATGACATCAGTTATTTAGCAACAAATGTGAATGGACTGTGGAAAATCAAAGCCTTGTCATCCGCTGCTTATACTAATGAAAACGGATTTCCTCAACTAGCTGTAACTGTAATCCTGGAGCGTCGGGCGTCATATTATGTCCTCAATCTCATCGTCCCTGTCATGCTTCTCTCCCTTCTCAGCTCAGTGGTCTTTGCTCTGCCTCTACAATATGGGGATAAAGTGTCTTTATCCATGACGATTCTCCTTGCATTCAGTGTGTTTCTGACTCAGATGAGCAACAATATGCCCAGGACATCCTTACAGACGTCCTATCTCACCATCTACATGACCCTGCTCCTCAATCTCAGCTCCCTTGCTGTGGCTATGTCAGTTCTCATCCTAAGGGTCAATCAGAGGAAGAGAGATGTACCTGTAGTATTGCAGAACTATATCACATTTTGCAAATATGCCCTTAACAACGCGACTTTGAAAACAGTGGAATCGGAAGTTCAGAACACCACAGCTTATGACAAGGAAGAAAGGAAGTGTAACACAGTGGTCACCTGGAAAGAAGTGTCTCTTGCACTTGACGATCTGTGTCTGAAGTTATTCTTTTTGCTTAATGTTGGCTGTGGTATTGCTTTCTTTGCGCTTGTCATTTAATGTTTGCCATTGTTGCATGGAATCCCAATGAACCAATATATATAGACAAAAAATCTATACAAGCGTACATTGCAGAACTTAATATATGCAAAAATGCCTGTTTTAGTCAGCAATATACGTTTTTCTGAGTTTGTTTGTTTTAAATGTATATGTACATGCTTCTACATAGTACTGAAGCAATGGACAAAGGGTGATGGAAAAAACATGTTTGGAAACTCCGTCCCTCTTGTCAATATTTACAATCCGTAAATAAGGTTCCATTAAGGCAACAACATGCTGTGTGATCATAACGGTTTTAAAGGAGATTGTAAGTAAATTGTAAGTAATTCGAAAAATGATTGTTAAAAAATAAAAAATAATTAAAACAATAATACTCTTTTATCCACAACTTTGAAATCTTCTTGACGATAGTACTTTGTGGACTACGAGGACTGGAGGTGAGGTGAAATTGGGTTTAACGTCGTGCTTGAGAATATTTCGCTGATATGACGACGTGCATGTGTGTGTATGTGTATGTGCGGCTGCTTGTACTAGCCCAGACTGGAGCTGGTTTTATATCATGCCGCAGTGAAGCATGAATACCCCACTCAGACACAGTATACTGACTCCGAGCAGACCAGTCCTTGTTGTACCCATTAATGCCGAGCGCCAGGCAGGGACCAATAAGTACCATATTGTAACGTCTTTTGGTATGACGCGGTCGGGGATCGAACCCGCGACCTTCCGCTCTCCGTGCGGACGCTCTAACCACTACACCACAGAGGCGGTCACGAGGACTGGACCAGAAGTCAACACCATTAAGTTGAAAATTGCATCAATATTGTCATGTGCTGTTGTATCTTCGTGAAATTTGATTTGGACTTAGTACTTGATGTGTCAAATAACCCGTGTTATATTTTGCCTTTGGTTGTGGTACTTGGTATAATATCCTGTAATCATCAAAGAACCATCAGGCCTCTGGCCTCTGAGAACCAGCACGTCTCATGTCGTTGTGTGTTTGCTGATGCATTGTGCAATGACATGTCAGCCAAACAGTGCATGTTTGGAACGAATTGTTGAAGCGAGGAAATGCTCACCAGTGAGAATTTAATTGTGTGGATCGAACACAGATTTTGCCGTAAAGGCGTCCTAAGACTAATTTTGTCAATCATCATCACATTATAACAGCACTTTTGTAGAAACATGTATTTAGCATTTCTATACAATTTGTAAGATATATTGTATTCGACTGTTATTCTGTCTTTACATCATGGCCATACATATGTGTAGCTGTACTTAATGCAATGCGTCGCACTTTAGCTTCAAGTTAATGTTAAATGCCTGCAGCATCTCCAATCGTAAATCCCGGTCATGAAATGGAAAAACACCAGCACCGCAGGAACCGTAGGCCTTTGTGAAACGTTCAGAGTGCCGCTCTGGGGCGGAGGTGTCAAACCTGCATCAGTACACAAGTTGTACACTCTCGCTACTGACTGCACTGCCTTTGATTTGACTCAATCGTCTATGACAGGAGAGCTCTGCGTGTATGTATGTATTAGCAAATTTATATACTCACATTTACTTTTACCTTGCGATTGTGCCATACCCCTTTTTAATATAATAATTCTGCCGATTGCAAAAAGATATAAAGCGTCCCAAGTGTGGGGATAAAATTGCTTGTTTTATCAAGATTACATCATACTGGTTGTACACTTTGATCTTAGTTATACGTTTATTTTTCCTCAAATAATAAAAGTTGCGTTCTCAAATTATGTCTTAAGAAGTATTGTGGGCGAGCTGGCTAAGGCGCCAGGCTAGTGACCAAGCTTGGGGTGACGGGATCGAGCCCACATGTGACTGGGTGTAAAAACCTTGGAGTCAACTTTGTGTGCAGACCCTCTCAGTGTTGTCGCAACCCCTAGTGTACAGTACACAACCCTGTGCACTTTTAAGAACCCACGAATCCGTTGGTATATGACCAGATGGTGGCCACATGAATACGTGCCAACACCTAGTTGCGGGTTCAGCAACGTGCAGTAAACTTGGACAAAATACTGAGACTACGTGTCCCAGTCCACCCAGCTGTGGATGGGTACCTCGTAAGGATCGGAAAGCCACATTAACTCGGTGCGCCTAGTGGCTGCAAGCGTTGTATGATCTCCAGGGAGTTGAGATTGATAATACATTGTGCCGTTTGAGACTGGCATCCAGTGGTCGAGGGAAAAGCAAAGCGCCTTCGAGCAGGTGATCTGGATATTGGCGATATATATATATAAAGCCATCAGATATTCATCATATTTACGTGGCTGATGACCATTCGCAACATTTCGACAATTGTTTGCAGGATTCCCCGTGTTTTCTTGTGCTTAGATACTGTTACATCTAGTTATTTCTCTCAGAGTACTTTGTGATGATTTTGATGCGTCAGTGACAGATATTACTACCCAATATTTGGATTTCTACCACATGTTCCTGGATGGTTTTCTCCCCGATGAATAACTGAGTAGATTTTGATGTGTTTGTGTAAGGTGACCACCTGGTTTCATCAACCACCTGGTTTCATCACTGTGTGATTGTGATTCTTAAACAAATGTTCTCGATACAATCGGAATCCTCCAACCAACTGTTATTTCTTATGAATATGGTAACGGTGCTGTCGCTTTTATTTACTTTAACTGATACGCATTTGTAAATAGATTTAGTGAGTGAGTTTAGTTTCACTCCGCTTTTAGCAATATTCCAGCAATATCACGGCGGGGGACACCAGAAACGGGTTTCACACATTGTACCCATGTAGGAAAGCAAACCCGTGTCGTCGGCGTGACGAGCGAACGCTTTAACCACTAGGCTATCACACCGCCCCAAATAGGTTTAGGATACCATTAAATATTGTCTGTTGTATATTTGTGTGGGTGGGAACGTTAGCTGTGCATGAATAGGGACGTGATCTTTTGAATCAATAAAAAAGCATTAAGAGAAAATTCTCTTCAAATTGTTTACCTGAATAATCTCGAAAACCGGCCCTTTGAAATGTATTGTAAAAGCCTTCAATATGTATCCCGCTGTTCCAAGTTTTACACAAACATGACGCCATTAGTGTGAGAGGACATTCGGCCAAATGTACACTGCCAGTATGCTCCATCGACATCATTAATCGATTCTAATATTTTGACAGCGTGTATGAAACGACTGGCTAATCCCATCATACTTTAGTACCATTATTTGATAAATTTTAGTTTCCGAATGTATTAGAATACAACACAAATACAGACACGTTTGTGCAACCTTACAAAATATATATGTTGTATAGAAATACATCAGCAAGTGATATTATTGCTAATGGTATATTCCTCGACATTGCTGGGATATTTTTTTCTGATCATATTTTATATTTTTCTGTCTATCAGAAATCAAGAAACTCAGATATTTGGGTCTCTCGTATCTTGGTCTAGTCACGACATGGATGTAACAATGCCAATGTGACTCAAAATCTTGACTCACTCACACACTCACTCTCTTCAATTTACGTAAAGGAATCATACTGATATCAGTTTCCCGAAACGTCACAAATATATCAAATTTCAAGGACCACTATGTGTTTCATTTTTAATACCATTTCAACAAAGTTATTCAATTTTAGCAACGTCTAATAAATTTGGTAGCTCATTAAATATATGCCACTACTTGCCACTGCGCCATACCGCTGCCAACACGTTGTTCATATAGCCACAGGTAGTGCAATGGTAGAATGCACAGGAAAGAGAAAAGAAAATTGAAAAAAAATTAACATTCTGTACTGACTTAGTAAGCTCACATCGAAACCCTACACAAAATATTTGTTGTTGCCCCCTTTGACAAAGCCTCAAAACCTATGTAAGCATCACTACATTAATATGTTTAATCAAATAACTCGGTATAAGTAGGATATAAAGTAATGCCACCTCCAAGGCCAGTGTCAATATTTAACTGAGGAAGAAATCTGCCAGAATCATGAACCAGCACTGTCGACGTTTGTCTTCACTCTGAATGGATGCCAAAGTTCTTTAACAAATCGGACAAAGAGATCTATTGTTGGTTCGATGAAAGGTACTACTTACCTCTGTCTAAAAGGTTAATCATTACCTTTTATACGAACAAGAAAATACCTCCTTGATATTCAGAAGTTATTTAAGACAAGTGGAATTAGTGGCATGTGAGTTTTCAAAACGTCAGAGGTTTTGATTCATTGTTTGCAATTGCAGAAAGAACCATTATGTCAAAAGATTTTTTTTAGCTGTTCGGATCTGTTTCTTTACGCATGACAGTAAAGCAGTCATTCTTATTAATATGGAAATAATTTTGTCACTATTCTATTCGGGTAAAATGCTTCAAATGGCAGCCTTTCAAATCCGTATCATTGCGCGTCTCAGTATTCATCAGAAACTGCAAAAGTACCCATCCCAAATAACCCCAAACTAAGACAGCTGGATTCGAACCACGCTTCTTCCACACAGAAGTATACAGGTTTGTGGACAGTCTAAATACAACTGCATGTCTATGGCATCCTTTCTCGGGGCACTGCCAGGCGCCTAATCTATATGGCAGAGCATCAACGACACCTCGAAACATCTTAGTGAAAAACAAGTTCTTAATAAAGTTCGAGTTTGTCTTATTTACCCACTGACATCTGGAATATAGTCAAGAAGGTAGTAGCGTGGTTTTTATGACTGTGTACATTGTGGTGACTGCTTCATTAAAAGGCATTATATTAAATCTCCAAAGCAGCACAATACGTTCTCAAATTGTATTCAATGAAAAAAACGCAAAGTGTCTAGTCCTAATAGTCCCGAAAGAGGGCTAACGTCATCCACATCAATGTTATCATTTAATTCATCATTAGTTACTATGACAGCGGCAGTCACTAACACAAAGTGATGAAATTGCTATGGTGGTCTTACTTGTTACTCCACAGATATGTTCCACAATGTCAATATGCTCAGAAAAATATCACCTGGTCAATGAAAGGACCAAACCAAAGTCAGTTAGAAAACAATTCAAAGTGTTAGGTGAACCGATTGATGTCCAAAACCAGTCCTTTTAACTTTATGTAAACTCATCCAATTAGATGTCCGCCTCGTTCAAGTCTTCCGTAAATATATAGCCAGGACTGTGAGGGGATACTAGTCTTAAATCTACAGAACCATAATGATCCGACATTATCTTTAATCACTGCTTACTGTACCAGTATGTATAAAACCATTCACAAAACAGAATGATGGGGTAAATCATTATGAGGGGTCGATACCAATGTTTGTGATCGACGTCATTGGCCTCAAAGATACGACAACACCTTAATTAGAAGGTATTAAAAGCCTCATCCTGCCGAACCTCTCCAAGTCCTGTATTCAGAAATTAAGAGGTACGTACGCGGAGGAAGAAGCAATGATCTTCAAAAATCTCATCTGCTTCACCACATTAATTTGCATAAGTCAAGGGATCAGCATTAAAGAACAGAAGAGACTTCTTCAGTTTTTGAAAGATGACTATAAGCGGCAAGTGTTCCCTAGTGAGACCAGGATGGACATACGAGTACTCTTTATGTTATCATACATTGCTGAGCTCAATGAGTGGCAACAGTCCATGACCACAAATGGATGGTTTAATTTCAGTTGGCTGGATGAATCATTGAAGTGGAACATTTCGGATTATGGAGGGATAGACACGATCAGCATGTCAAGTGAAGACATATGGATGCCCGACATAACGCTCCTCAATACAGCCGACGAGCGCGAATTGATGAACAATCAGAATGCACCTGTTTGTGTATATCACTCTGGAATGGTAGATTGGTTCCATGGAGATCTCTATCACAGTCAGTGTGACTTTGACATTTCACATTTTCCATTTGATACTCAGACTTGCCATCTGAATCTATCCACATGGGTGACCAGAAATACTTCTGCTCATTTCATATCTTCAATTGATAGAAGCAATGATTTAATAACAAATGTGAATGGGCTTTGGGATATTAAAGCATTGTCATCCACCACCGCTGATAAGACATTTCCTCAACTCATTATAACCACAACACTTCAGCGTCGGGCGTTTTATTATGTCCTCAATCTCATCGTTCCTGTGATGTTTCTGTCTCTCCTCAGCTCAGTGGTCTTTGCTCTGCCTGTACAATATGGGGATAAAGTGTCTCTATCCATGACGGTTCTACTTTCATTCAGTGTGTTTCTGACTCAGATGAGCAGCAATATGCCCAGGACATCCTTACAGACGTCCTACCTCACCATCTACATGACCCTGCTCCTTACTCTTAGCTCCCTTGCTGTGGCTATGTCAGTTCTCATCCTGAGGATCCATCAGAGGAAGGGAGATGTGCCTGCCCTATTGCAGAAATTGGTTACAATATGGAACTTTGCTATGCACAAGATGCCTATGAATGCATTGGAACCTGTTGTAGACGACACTGAAGTTGATGACACAGATGAGCAGAAGTGTAACCCAGTGGTCACCTGGAACGACGTATCTCTTGCAATTGATTCACTATGTCTAAGATTCTTCTTTCTGCTTAATGTTGGTTGTGGCACTACCTTTTTCACCATTGTCATCGTTGCTTCGAATTATATGTCCAAAACAGATCTACCGTAAGTCCCCATGGTCTATAGTATAGACTTTGACTGCTGGTGATCTATAATCCATATCGGGGCAGTGGGGTAGCCTAGTAGTTAAAGCGTTGGCTCGTCACGCCATAGACCCGGGTTCGATTCCCCACATGGGTACAATGTGTGTAGCCCATTTCTGGTGCCCCCCGCCGTGATATTGCTGGAACATTGCTAAAAGTGGCGTAAAACTTAACTCACTCGCTATAATCCATGTCTATGTTGTATTGATCAATATTGTGTTATCTTTTTGTGACATCGTGCTTGTTTCAAGTTAACATTATGTGATATTCTAGGTGATTTACTGTCAATCGTTGACAGATTGGTATAGTCCAAATATATCACTGATTATTGTACATATTGTTTGAAATACTGTCCATGTGACGTGAAGTATTAATTCACTAACTCACCCACTCCAAAAAGAGTCAGTCAATCAGGAAATGGAACAAATCACACATTTAGGTATCTGAATATTTCAGAGGAATGTTACTTTCAACCAGAATTTGTTTTCTCGTCGGATAATATATTAACAGCAAATATTTTGATTTTTACACCTAGATTCTCATGAAGATTACGAATCCAGTACTTATCTGGAAAATGTTTATGTCACATTTTTACATGTTCTTTGCTTGATATATTATTAATTGATATCTCATTAATGCATAAACCCTAGGGGGTAAAAATACATAAATCACTAACTGGCATCGTTATAAATGAAACCCCGTCATTAAAACTACTCATTTCGACCTTTAATTGACTTAAATCGACCTTTTTGACAACAGTGCACAATTCTCACCCGCGAACGAAATTTCAACCAATCAGAGCGGCGCGACTCTGTGACGTCATATGAGGAATATCTTTGAGGACCGATGCAGAATTCATCTACATTTTAGGGGGTAAATTATCTTGTTTACAGGCTTGCATAAACCTGAAATCGTGACAATTGTTGTGGAAAATGAAAGCTATATGTTCTCACAATCTACTGTCATTTAATTTTGTCTCCTGCTTTGCCTAGTTTCCGAGTTACAACTTGTTTTCATAGACGCTTCTGTCACAATTGATTGGTGTCGTTAGGCCCTATTTGTATAATGACTGATCCAAATTGATCCCATTTCTGTGTTTTTACCTCGATATTTAATCATGTCATGTAAAAATCTGTTTGTATTCTCAAAACAGTGTCGGCCCATAAGTTTTCACATGCAATACAGCAATTAATACTCCCTTGTTGTAACCCGTGTTAGGTGGTATAAACCTACACATGTTATTTGTCATCATTCACTTGATGGTCAGTTAATGAATTTATAACAGGTATAATTAGTGGTAACACACTTAGATTACCCGACAAAGGTTCCCATTTGGCATTTCTTGTGTCTGGAGTAAATATTCAACATTATAAACATCGATCAAAGGATTAACCGATAACACGCTGATTGATTAATTACTTTTATCTTACACAGCGGATTTGTCAAAAGGTAGTGTTTATGTATGTAGATTTACTAATCTATACTGAATACACTCTGCCGTGTCTGTGTCTGCGTAAAACAACGTCCTTCTTTCAAAGGATTAACCGGCAATACATTGATTGATTGCCCATTATTGGCTAACTAAATTACTGTTTTAAATGAAAGGCGGACATTATGCAATTAGTTGCCAGGTGTGCTATCTTGGGTGACCAATGAGACTACACACCAATACCTGAAAAGATTTATCACTTTTTCGTATATTAAACTGTTAAAAGACACATTATTTGGAACAGTTTTGTGGATATTGATGGATACATTCCTCAAACAAGGTAATGGCCTGATATTGTTCCTATAACTTTAGTCTGTTTTAATTTTAATATTTGCATTTTGTTTTTATTCATTTGTCGTAACATTCAACAGAATCATTGTTTTCGCCGTGAAGTGTAATGAGACAGACAACATACACTAGGGTGTGTGTGCGAATTATGATTCACATTGGCAAACTATAAAATGTCTAGATATTACAGTTCTGTTATAAATTCACTATAAGTATCAGCAGATCGTCAGCTTTTATTTAGTTTCAAAATGCATACAAGTATGATAATAAACTAATTAGGATTATAAGACCAAATATAAAGACGTACATTGACTAGTATCTACATACTGGTGAGTGGACATTAACCATGTGAATGTAGCAAGAAATTTATCGCGCAGCATCGTGACTTCGACCCCCACCTCGCTTCCGTGGAAGAAATCGTTATGTTATAAGTTGTGTCATGCAAAATCCTTTTGGTTATGATTCCAATACATATTTAACTACGAGTAGAAAGTAGTTTTGATTTTCTAACTTGATGAAAACAAACTATAATCTCATTAATTCTAACAGACTTTACGATTTTCAAAATGGCGGCGACTTCTGTCGGGAACATCCGCCAGTCTGTGGATAAATGCTATTTAAGTTTGTTTTCACTGAGTTACAAGATCAAAACTACTTTCTACTGGTAGTAAAATATGTATTTTATTGATGGCCAATAGGATTTTGCATGACATAGCGTATAACATAACAATTTCTCTCCTGGCAGCGAGGTGGGTGTCAATATAATACTACTTACAATATTATTGTTACTTCGACCACAACCTCACTTCCGAGGAAGAAATCGTTATGTTACAAGTTGTGTTATGGAAAATCTTTATGGTCATCAATCATATACATATTTTACTATAACTAGTAAGTAGTTTTGATTCTTTAACTTCCGTGAAGCGATCTGAACACAAGTAAGATATCGTTTCAGGCTTCCACAACGCTCGCTTCGCACTCACAAACATAACCCATTTAGCACGAACTGCGGGGTCCTGTGGAAATCTGTGCATGGTGACACCATCACCCGACCCCTAGGAGCAATTGACGACAAAACAACGATTCGGCATGTCGTCGTTCATGTCGAGAAATCATCAAAATGATGAGCGTGCTACACACTTTCTATACAACTAACTGAAAATCGTTCCTCATATGACGTCACTGCAGTGCTCTGGCGACAGAGTTACGTAACCTGTCTGTGGTTTCGTTGGCGGGCGAGAGGGAAGCAGGCGACTTTTGGGCACTTTTAATCGCTCGGTATTAATTAACCACAAGTTTTAAAGAATAAATTTGGTGTTCCGCATAAGAATAACCACAAATCTTCATATGTAATGGTTAAAAGAGTAACAAAACAAAGTTTAGTGGTTCTCATTAATGCGGAAACCTTTTGGTTAGAGAGTTCATGTCGTATTTTGAACAATACACTAATGTCAACATATTCAGTACTTACCAATCTTGCTCAGTTATATGACAGATTTTTCATCACTGTCATTTCTAAGCCCCTTCTGACGGAGTTTGTGAATCCTTCCAATAAGTATGATGAAAATGGACCTGATATGGTCCGGAAGGTATACAACTGATTCATTCCTTGAATCGTCTTAACAGTCTTCTGGCATACACTCCAACAGCATCAATATTTGATTTGTTTATTATATTACCATTTCGTTTCTTATTCTCAACGCTATTCGTAGTAACTCTGAAATGATTATCAAAGACAAACACCGTGAGTTGTCAAGAGATCATCAATCTAATGTCTAGCAGATGCAAAGGAAAATATTTACTGTCAAATTTAAAATATGTGCTGTATACAACTAAAAACAATTTATAAGCAATGGCCTGATGGTAATTTCTTCCCGTTACAGAATACGTTTCTGCATTTTATGGTGAATTTAATTCGAAAACCTTCTAATGTCCTATCTTCTTCTGTCATGAAACAGACATCTTTTCGAAGTGAAAACTACTTTATTTCATTATTTTGTGAAGTACGAGGACTGGACCACTCCCTTAACTTTGCCGTTTCTTTGTATATCTGTTTGAATCTGATTTACAGTAGGTATTGGGTGTTCCTACATCTGTACTTGTAAGTTGCATGGCCCTGGTTAGAATTGATTTTCAGTATCCCATGCTTGTCTACGCAATTGGGATACGATGACATGTGTCAACCAAGTCAGTGAGCCTGACCACCCGATCCCGTTAGTCGCTTCTTACGACAAGCATAGTCTGGAAGCATTTGAACAATTTGTGTCTTTTCTTCATGCATTTCAACAGACAGTTTGGGGCACATGGCTTGCAATGTTTATCCCAGCTACGGGAAAGTCTGTGGTTGTAGTTCTCGTCTGCTGCCAACAACGAACACGCCAACATTAGGAAACTGTTTACAGACAGGAAAATAAACCTTTTCTATTGTATAAATGTCTTTGTAACCCAATATATCAGATCCAGAAAGTAAAATGGACTGTGTTTGAGAATCTAATAATTTCCACAAATATTCGGTAGAATTACAATAAGCTTAGGAATGACAGAGTGGAGTTGTAAAAAAAAAGCTTTCTTTGTTCTGATCACCAGTTTAGATGCAGCATATGCACGTAGGGAAACAATATGCCAAGGTTTTCACATTCATATAGAACATTCATATATTTAACATTCATATATTTAACATAATATCATACTCCGTCTAGCAATTTATGTAAACAATATCATGTCCATGCGCTCTGTAAAACTATAATCCAAGTTGTCATCTTGTACTATTGGCCTCATGGCCACATACATGAAATAAACCTGTCTGTCTGTCTGTAATATATTTACCTTTGAAAAACAATTTCCCTTTAGCGGCTTTCCCTTTATAGACAATATGTTTTATCAAGGTTCGCATTTGGGTGCCAGGGCATTAGTCAGAATATGCTGAAAAAAAATCAAGTTGGTTTTGAAGACCAATCCCAGTACTCAACATCAGAATCAGCAAAAGATAGCAAGAAAAGTTTCATTAGGTCAGGAAAAGCTGAATACCATGTTTACCAGATTTCATAATATCAACATATATCTCGTTTATGAAACATGAGAAAAGTATTGAACTTAAAACACATCCTTGACTGAAGCTAACAGGGCAATGAAAACAGTCGCTTACGTCACCGCAACGGACTCGTGATTTTACATTTAGTACATTGATCTTTTAACGTACATTTTCCCCCTTCAAACAACTATTTCTCAAACATTTCAATTTTAACTCCACATGCTGAATCAAACGCCATTTTGAATTCTACAAAAACTACATACAAGTTTCTTTTGCTGACGGATGCATATCTCTAAATGACTTCATACAATCACAAGGTGACTGATCACAAGGTGAGTAGAAGCTTGTAAATCAGGTATTGAATCTCAAATGTTTGCCAACTGTGTTATTCTGTGTTGATAAGAGACGTAAAAGCTTTGCCAAGAATACTAATGAGAGAAATACCCCTAAAATTGTCAGATTTGTTTACATTTCCATATTATGGAATGATGATAGATTGTGCACACACAGAAGAAAAGGGCCCAGTATCAAATCCTCGATTGAAGCATTTAACGGAAAGCACATGATGTCGGGTAATAAGTACTTAAGCATTTCTGATACAACAAATCAACGACTTCAGATTTACCAGTATCGAATATTTCACATTTTATTATAGGTGATTCCAACAGAATCAAGATGATTCGGGTCTTTGATTGGATAATCATCAATCCAATTTAAATTCACATTCACAATATCATAAACAATATCTTACTTTGCGAAACATAACCAGTCTGTTTCTGATATAAACTACCGGGCAAAACATTCGCCAAAATGCAATATGATCCCGATAACAACGTAGCTGCCCGAAAACTTCGAACGAATCACATATGTGGGACATTGGTCCAATTGCACCTGAATGGTTGTTGCATAAACACCGATGTTGGACAGAGCAAACATGCAGTAACCACGAATATATCAAGACCTACGCAAGTGCAATGAAACAGGGCGATCGGTATGTCCAATATTGGTCCTTCACAACGTCCAATGGCAAGAACCTTGAACTGCAACCAGACAACCATCAGCAAACTGATAAACCGCTACCAGTAAACAGGCCAGACCAGGTATCACGACACCGACCGAAGAGGGCTACATCCGGCAGAACCACCTCCGGAACATGTATTCCTGACGGCGACGTCAAAGGTGGTAACAGCACTAGGACACGCCATCAGCAGACGAACATTCCTTCGACGACTTGGTATGGCTGGTATACGAGCCTACCGCTCCTTCCTTGGGAATGGCCTTGACCCGTCTACAACGTCAAAACAGACTGCAATGGGCACGAACTGAACGTCCGTGACTGGGAGAGAGTCCTCTTTGTAGATGAAAGTCGGTTCAGTCGGTTGAGAAACGAGTTCGAGTTTTTCGACGTAGAGGAAAGTGACTCGCGCCAAACTGCGTTCATGACGTTTATCCGTTCGATGGGGAAGGCGGCATTTGTGGCCAGAGAACAAGACATCATCACCCGAGGAAATCTGAATGCCCAGCGTAACAGGGATGACGTTTAAGACCTTGTGTGGTGCCTTTTGTCGACAACAGCCCAGTGGAGACAACGCACGGCCTCACACCGCCAGAATTATTCGAGGATGCCTGCACAACGTCAACGTCAACGTATTGCCTTGGTCAGCGCGTTCTCCAGACATGAACCCCATTGAACATCTCTGGGATCATCTCGATCGTCAGCCGAGACGGCATACACCACCTCCAGGAACTTGAACAGACTCTCTTGGACTTGGAACAGGATTTCTGCTGACGTCGTCCGCCGACTGACGATGTCAAAGGGGAGACGTGTGTTGGGCGCGGAGAGTCTTGAATGGGTCACCGTGTGTGACAGCTTGACTCTAGGACTTCAGTCCTGCCCCACAATAAAGCACATGTGATGCATGTGGTCACACCATAGGCAACTAAGTTTTTCATAATTGCCTCTGTTCACTCAGCAGAAAATGGGTACCCTGTGAAATAAGTCATGAGATTGTTATCCTTCTAGCGCCTAACAGGCAGGTTGGGTTATCCGGGGTAATAATTATCTGATTGTGCGCTTTGAGCAGACTATCTAGTCTGGAAAAGGCGCGATACAATTATTCTCATTATAAATAATCTCATTATTATCCATAACACATCCTCAACAGATTCAGGCAAATGAAATCAGTCATCGCTAATGGCAGTTGCTTCATTTAAGTATTTACACCTGGAAAAAGGTTAAGCGCCCTTAAATATGTTCACCGCCAACAGAACTATTATCAAGTTCAGCTTGTGTATGATGATACGTATAATGATAACGTTCAATTAAGACATTATTGCGAGTGTAAATGGTGGAATGTGTCTCCCAAACAGTCCTGAAGCAAACCACGAATTTTCACAAGTGCAGTTTGTGCAGGTGCCGCATGTCGGTATTGTAATCTGCATGGGTTATAATGTTCAATCATTCTCCTGTCACTATGATACGATACGACTATCATATGCTCAGAGATTGAAAATTATTGGTAATGCATAACTCTGGTATGTCATTGAAAGCAGTTGGTCGGCAAATGAATTTCCACTATACAGTTTTAGCCGTTTTGGCAGAAAAAACAATGAAGTGACGTCAGATCGTGAAGGCACTATTGAGGTTCACTCGACACAACCATTCGTCACAAGCACTGTTCAGAAGCACCACTGGTTACCATTTCGGCGTCTCAACGATCTTGAACAAACCGTAATCGCCTTAGGAGAGCCGGGTACATATTAGAAGGGTCATCAAACGTCTTCTACTTAACGATCATCACCAACAGCCACGCTTGGCTTGGTGATGACGACGGCAACACTGGAATCTGAGGACTTGGCGAAGACTTCATTGGTCTGATGAAAGCTGATTCCGTCTTCATGTAACTGATGGACGATTAAGAGTTTGGAGGACTGTGACGGGTGATCAGTATATCCCGGAAGTGTTCGATCCAAATGTCCTCGATTTTGATAATTGCTGTCCTCCATTTTGATAATCATCATCATCAAAGCGCATCTTATGATGCGCTTGGAGCATGCAATGCATGGATAAACGCGCAATGTAAATGGACTATTATTATTATTATTATCCTACTAAACGACTCGTATGGATGACAAAGCAAGGCCACACCGTTCTCGTAGGGTGACAGCTTTCATTCAGAATACTAATGCCAAAAGATTTGAACCGAAACATGAATTTTTCTTGTGTCATATTCATTATTAAGGGGTTGGAAAAATTGCCTTTTGTGACTTTTCTTGAAGTCAAGCCATGCTCTTACAGCAAAACAATGCAGCTTTAATAACCTACTGCTCGTGCACACCAATGATGTTAGTCGAAACATTCAACCTTGTAACAAATTACAGGAGTTGCTTAACTTTTTCCGAAGGGTATATATGTTGATTTATCTGTTGATTTATCTGTTCCATTATATGCATTTGACATTATTCTGACTACCGATTCTCGTGTTTTTGGCTACCTTTTCTATTCTATGGAAACCTAAATGGATTTTCACTCGCACATAGTAAAATTATCTTCTCAATTGCTTCACAAACAACTGGTCCACGACGCTAAGTATTGGTGTAAGGGTAAGGTTAGTCAGTAATGTGTGTAGATGTGCGTGTGTTACAGAACGTATAATTCTAAATGGATCTCGTTGAAAGCAATGTTGGTTGTTTGCAAATAGCATCTTACATCATTAAATGAAGATTGCGCATGACGAACAGGCGGAGGTCAGACATGACATCGATGCGCGCTTTGGGAGAAAGGCATACGACTGCTGAGATGACTTATCTTGGATTCGTTTCACTCGCATTATTCTTGGTCTTCCTTACACAGATGAATTGCAACATGATTGAGGGACAGCACAGACTTGTGAAGCAATTATCTAGTGATTACAATCGATTTGTGTTTCCTCGTAAAGTCAAAGAAGCAATTGACATCAATGTTCAATTTCATTTGATGCAATTAATTGAAATGAATGAGTTGCAGCAGGCAATGGTCACCAATGGCTATTTTCTCTTGCAGTGGATGGATGACTCACTGAAATGGAACAGCTCAGACTTCGATGGACAGGAAAATCTGTTTCTGTCTACTGATAGTGTATGGGTCCCTGACTTAACAGTGAACACTGTCACCCAAAGAACGATGTTTTGGGAACAACCTGGCCTTGTATCCATACGAAACACGGGATTAGTACGTTGGGTTCATGGTGATCTGTTCACGACGATGTGTGACTTCGATGTTTCCCATTTTCCGTTTGACACACAGGTCTGTAACATATCTCTCACCTCCTGGTATACAGAATCGGACCAAGTTCGATTTCTACCTCAGAAAAATAGATCCTTGACTGCTTATTCACAAGAAGGAAATTCATTGTGGATACTGAAAGATATATCTGGGGAAATAGTAATGGACGGATACCCTTTCCTTCGCATTACCATCACCTTAAAGCGCCGACCTTCATTCTATGTCTTCAACCTGATAATCCCCATCACGCTGTTATCCCTTCATAGCTCCCTGGTGTTTGCTCTGCCTATAGAGCACGGAGACAAAACGGCTCTCTCCATGACAGTTCTGCTCGCTTTCACAGTGTTCCTGAGTCAGATGACCAACGAAATGCCCAGGACATCCCTACAGACGTCATACCTCACCATCTACCTCACCGTCCTCCTCACTCTCAGCTCCCTTGCTGTGGCAATGTCAATCCTCATCCTCAGGGTGCATCGAAGGACCGATGAAGTACCTTTAATATTGCAAAGATGGGTCACTGCCAAGATTTGCTGTTCTCGGAACAAAACAAAGAAGGAAGATACATTAGATATGACGAAGCTTTCAGGGCATAACGGCGAAAGAGAGAAATCTGATGCCAGGGTGGAGTGGAAGGATGTTTCTCTTGTGCTTGATGCCTTCTGTCTGAGACTCTTCATGTTCCTCAATGTGGGTTGTATCGTTGCTCTCTTGATCCTACTTATCTAACAGTGTGAGATATTCACCCGTTCGTAAGCCGTATGCGACGCTTTCATTTTTCGAGGTGAAAACCTTCAATAGATTATCTAACTCTCCATCACCATGAATATCACAGCCTACACAAACGATGCACCTGTCTGCTTACCGTACAGCTGCAGCGCAAACAAGCTTAGCGATCAAGCGATCAAGCAATCAAGTAATCAAATAATCAAGCGATCAAGCAATCAAGCAATGAAACGTGCGGTCGTTACGAACACAACTAACGATATTGGAGGCGTCTGCAAGATTCATGTACGATTACCGGGAAAGTTGTCTATTGTGCTTCACCAAAACATGGCTGAACGAAAGTGTGAATTTGGGATCAATAACTCTTTCTGGATTTGGACAACCGATTCGCATGGACAGAGATCTTCAGATAACGGAGAAGGGAACGGGTGGTGAACTGTGTATGTATATGAACCCAAAATGGTGAAATGTCTTACGTGAAAATGTGTGCACAAAGGATGTGTAAATATTATCTGTTTCATTCAGACCATTTTACTTACCAAGAGAATTTGGACAGGTATTTGTAACTTCTTGTATATATTCCACCAAATGCAAACTCAAACAAAGCCGCTGATTCAATTCGGAAAATTACGGACAAATTTGGAAGCTCTTTACCGGATGTTCCCAACTTTATTATGGGTGATTTTAATAAATGTTCTTTAAAGGATGTACTTCTACACTATTTTCAATATGTGACGTGTCCATCCAGGCGAGACAAGACATTGGATCTTTGTGACGCTTACAAATCCTACGTAAAACAGCCTATCGGAACATCAGGTCCTAACCAACGCTGGACGATCTAACCAACGTTGTCACAAACTACATTAAGTTTTGTGTGGATAATATTATTCCTCTTAGGACAATCAAAGTTTACCCTTATAATAAACCGTGGGTCACAAAGAAGTTTAAATCTTTATTTAATGAAAAGAGACGAGCATTTTGTTCAGACAATATTCACACAGCAAAAGAAATACAAAGGGATATTATATGTCAACCAGCAAAATGTAAAGATGAATATATAGTTAAAATTGAAAAAAATGTTTACCACAAACGATTTGAAACATGCTTGGCAAGGACTTAAGTCTGTAATTGGGATTAACAAAAACCAGCAATGTATTGATGATGTTCAAGATGATCTTGGTTTTGCTAATCAATGATGTTACCAACGATATTGATAAGATGTATTCATCTCTACCCTCGTCTGATGACTTAGCAATTTCAAGAAGTGATGTTTTGTTGTCATTGAAACAACTCAAAGCAGGCAAATCTTGCGGCCCTGATAACTTACCTGGTATTGTTTTGAAAGAATGTGGAGAGTAACTATGTGCCATATTTCAGAAGATGTTTCCATGGTCAATTAGTTCAGCTGTAATCTTTCCCACTCTCTGGAAAACTTCCAATATCATTCTTGTTCCGAAAAGGAATAATCCCGCCGTAAAAATGACTATCGCCCAATTGCTTTGGCATCGATAACGATGAAGTGTTTAGAACGGGTTATAAAAAAATTGTTACTTGATAATGTAAGTTATTTGCTAGATCCAGTACAGTTTGCATATAGACCAGGGCGTGGGACGGAGGCTTAACATTAACCCTCCTACAAAATATTCACTCTCAAAATATTCACTCTCATCTGGAGACTTGTAACAACTATGTAAGAACCCTCTTTGATTTTTCTTCCGCCTTCAGTACCATCCAACCACACCTTTTGATGAGTAAACTGTTTAATCTTGTATCGTAGGCACTTTGACGTGGTATGGGTTTTATCAGGGAGTATGTTTGTATATTCTCTGAGGTAAGTTAAAGTTGTGTTATCTAAATCTAAATCACAGTGCTGTCAATATAAATGAAATATCAGCAGCTTATTATCATGACCATCATCACAGCCATGTACTGATCAGCTGCCTGCGTGTAATTAACCCTAATGAACCTTAGAGTATGGCCGGTTGGCCACGGAAGTTTAACATTGTGGAGGAAGTGCATGCTGGATACTGCAGGCTGACCATACATGTATTGTAATACGATACGGGGCAGCCTGACAGGCAGTAGTATATAGACAATGAATTCTTAATGTAAGGAGACTTGACCCTCGGGGAGGCTAGGCAGGTGGGCTGAAAATCGCCTCTGTGATGCTGCCTGGCCGTTGCTGCACTATCATGTAATTGCACATTTAGACGCCGAATAAAGTGCTGTGGACCCACTGATGGACTTCTGTGTTTGAAGAGACAATATCCCCAAAACGCGTTAAACAGCCCGGGATACTTGGCGTTAATAGCAACATTATCAAATTGGTTAAAGAGTCCATGTTACAAAGAACTCAGTATGTCAGTGTCAAAGGCTATCAATCTTCTTTTCTCTACCTCTACTGGAGCTCCACAGGGCTGTGTTCTTTCATACCTTACTCTTCATTTTGTATACTAATGACTGTTACTTGTCATTAAATTACGTGTTTAATGTGAGATTACGCCGCCCTAATTTCTGATTCCGAACATAATTATCGTTAAGGCATTGAAACTTTCTATCTTGGTGTAAAAACAATTTTCTGTTTCTGAATGTATAATGAAATCTAAGGAAATGGTGGTTGATTTTTCCTTTCCAGACAGGAAGTAAAATTGAGGTTTGGATTCTTATCCTTTGATATGGTTAATGGTAGCATATTGATAAAATGATTGGTTGGTTTGTTGTTTAACGTCGCACTCAGTGATATTCCAGCTATATGGTGGCGGTCTATAAATAATCGAGTCTGGGCTAGACAGGCCAGTGATCAACAGCATGAACATCGATGTACACAATTGGGATACGATGACATGTGTCAACCAAGTCAGCGAGCCTGACCACCCGATCCCGTTAGTCGCCTCTTACGAGAAGCATGGACCCGTGAAGGTCCGGGTTAGAATATTGGTCTTCAGTAACCCATGCTTGTGTGTGTGGTGTTGTGTGTGTTGCTGTGTTGCTCTGTGTGGTGTAGTGTGTGTTTTTCTTTGTAGTGTTGTGTGTGTTGCTCTGTGTGGTGTGTGTGTGTTGCTGTGTGGTGTTGTGTGTGTTGCTCTGTGTGGTGTTGTATGTCTGATGATGAGCTGTTTGAGCAGCATATCCAGTCTGGAAAAGGCGAGTTATAAATACTTTCATTATTATTATTACTCAACATCAAGACCACACTATCAGCAAAAGGTAGCACGAAAAATTTCATTAGGTTAGGAAAAGCTGAGTACCATGTTTACCAGAATTCATAATATCAAAATATATCTCGTTTATAAAATATGAGAAAAGTATTGGACTTGAAATAAGCCAACAGGGCATGTTCTTTCATCTACAAAAAATACATACAACTTTTGTTTTAAATATCTCTAAATGACTGCGTGATCACAAATTGAGTAGTCCTTTCTAAATCCCGCCTGTAAATCAGATATTGAATCTCACATGTTTGACCACTGTGTAATTCTGTGTTGATAAGAGACGTAAAAAGCTTTGCCAAGAATACTAGTGAGAGACAAAATCCTAAAATTGTCAGATTTGTTAACATTTCCATTCTTATATTATTGAATGACGATAGATTGCGCATACACAGAAGGTCCTGGATCAAATACTCGTTTGAAGCTTTTGGCGGAACGAGACTGGGCGATCGGTATGGCCAATATAGGTCCTTCACAACGTCAAATTGCAAGAACCTTAAAAGGCAAACAGTCCACCATTAGCAAGTTGATAAACCGCTACCAGAAAACAGGCCAGACCCAAGACAGGTATCACGACACCGACCGAAGAGGGCTACATCCGGCAGAACCACCTCCGGAACAGATTCGTGACGGCGACGTCAAAGGCGGTAACAGCACTAGCACACACCATCAGCAGACGACTTGGTATGGCTGGTATACGAGCCAACCGCCCCTTCCTTGGAATGGCAAAGACCCGTCTACACCTTCAAAACAGACTGCAATGGGCACGAACTGTACGTCGGTGGTAGCGACATGACTGGGAGAGAGTACTCTCTTCATATGAAAGTCAGTTCAGGAATGATGTCAGAGTTCGGGGTTTTCGACGTAGAGGAAAGCAACTCGCGCCAAACTGCGTTCAAGAAGATCATCCGATCTATGGAGGAGGCGTCATGGTATGGGGCAGCATTTGTGGCAAGAGAACAACGGGGATGAAGTTTGAGACCATTTGCGGTGCCTTTGACGACAACAGCCCAGTGGAGACAACGCACGGCCAGAATTATACGAGAATGCCTGCACAACGTCAACGTCAACGTATTGCCTTGGTCAGCGCGTTCTCCAGACATGAACTCCATTGAACATCTCTGGAATCATTTCGATCGTCAGCCGATACGGCATGCACCACCTCCAACGAACCGACAGGAACTTGAACAGACTCTCTTGGACTTATGGAACAGGATCCCTGCTGACGTCACTCCGCCGACTGACGATGTCAGTGGGGAGACGTGTGTTGGTCGGGGAGAGTTCTTGAATGGGCGACCATGTGTAACAGCTTGACTTCTGAGAGTTTCTAGGACTTCAGTCCCGCCCAACAACGAAGCACGTGTTATACATGTGGTCTCACCGTAGGCAAGTGAGTTTGTTCAAAACTGCCTCTGTTCACCCAGCAGAAAATGGGTATCCGGTGAAATATATGTCGTGAGACTATTAACCTTCTAGCGCCTAACAGGCAGCTTGGGTTATCCGGGGTAACAATGATAAGATTGTGCGCTTTGACAGGGTGTCTGGCTTTGAAGTGTGTGAGTGAGTTAATATTTTTAGTCTCATCGACAATATTTCAGCCATATCGTGACTAAGAAGTTGTAGATGTATAAATGAATAAAAAAGTTAGATAGTATACTTACCTGTCCGCAAAGGACAGTAAAACAACTAGATTACATTTGCTTCCTGCATGGACCCTAACTGTATTTACACCATCCCTTCGGCTATTAGCAATTTTAGATAATCTAGCCATAAATTAAAAAAGATACATAAACT